GATCTAACCGAACGATTGAATAATCCTGTATACTGATTTCAGAGTTCGAAATTGAAGGATCAATTTTTGATTCGTTAATAGCCAAAATATCAAAGGGGTAATCAGAAAACATAGTGCGAATCTCGTCAATATGTTTTAAAAGACTATTTACGTTTAAATTAGCAATTCTCAAGCCTTTTAACTTAGAAACATCAAAATCAAACAAACTAGAGGCAGAATCACTAGAAACTGGCTTTTCCCTAGGTCCTATTTTATCGCTAGAGCTAGAGTTATCACTAAAATTATCGCTAAAGTTATCACTAGAGTTATTTGTTGAATTTAACGAGTCCGTTCTCGTGTAATCGTCCTCAGAATATTCTCTAATTGACGTGCTGTCCTTTCCATTTAAAAATTTTCATACTGGCGGTTACGTGAATAGGTTGCTGAAGGCTTCCCTCCCCTTAGGAAGTTAATAAAATCAACAGCAAGTAAAGCTGTTCCTTTAGCGTTTAAATGCAATCTACTACCATTGAGGCAGGATCCGTTTATGTTTTTATGATCTATAAAAGTATAATTATGTCTAATACACATTTCTTTAATGGACTAATTTATTTTTAAAATAAATTGGGATTAATATGGCGCAACATCCCCACTTACAAAACCTGTTAAAATCCCAAAAGATAAGCTAAGAAAACAGATATCCGGCTAAACTTATTAAACTGATCTTCTTCTGGCAATCCTTGCCCAGTCTACGACACTAATGGCATTTACTGCTAAGCCTACATTCCTTGGTTATCAGCAAAACCAGTCAAAAACCGGCTCAAGCTCATTCTGTACAAAACTGCTATCGAGTAGACATCAACAAAAAAAATAATACGCTCCGCATAGTTTTAGAATCGGAGCAGCTACAACTGCTGCGGCAGCGAACTTACCACCATGGTTAATAAAAACTCTAGGTCGATGGCGTTCAGACTGTTACGAACTGTATATTCGTACACCAGGAACAATAATTAACTCAGTTCCTCAAAAACTAGCTTCAGTACTTAATCCTTAAATCTTACTATATATACTTATTATGCGATCAATATTAACATATCTATAACATCCTATAATCTATATCCATACTTTGGTTCATTTCCGGAAAAACTATCTCCCATGCATGCTTCACGCGGGGGATCTACACTACGGGCGCTTTCCATTAATACGACCAGACCGGTCAGAACGTCAAATCGTTGAATGAAACACAAATCTTTTGGGTTTCGGTTCTATCCGACCAAAATAAATTTAGATAAAAATTAGAATGAGGTCCGTTCTCGCTAAATATTTGAGAACACAGACCAGATCTTTCCATTGATACAGAATTAAAAAAATTCGGGTTTGACCGGACAGGCCATTAAATGAAAAGCGCTCTACGTTTCGATCTGTGGCGGAAGGTGGTGTGCATTCGGCCACACTTTGCCCACGGTGAAGCACCATAACGCCGGGGGGCCCTTACCCTCGACCTGACCTTTGCTCTCTCCGTTTCTCTTACTTCACCACGGGAAAGCCAGGCCCGGACATGGGATTCAATGTCCATAACGGTGACTGGGCCTATACCCTCATCCTGACGTTGTTTCTCCAGCTGTTCTGGGAGGCCTATACCTCCCAGAAACCGCACTTTTCCGCCACCCAATTTAGGCCACGAAGGATTTGCGTGAATTATTAAGGACTAATTTATTTTTAAAATAAATTGGGATTAATATGGCGCAACATCCCCACTTACAAAACCTGTTAAAATCCCAAAAGATAAGCTAAGAAAACAGATATCCGGCTAAACTTATTAAACTGATCTTCTTCTGGCAATCCTTGCCCAGTCTACGACACTAATGGTATTTACTGCTAAGCCTACATTCCTTGGTTATCAGCAAAACCAGTCAAAAACCGGCTCAAGCTCATTCTGTACAAAACTGCTATCGAGTAGACATCAACAAAAAACCCACCCACCCAACCCTCAAATCAGGGACAGGGAGTAAATAGCAAACATTTGTATTCATATCTAACTAATTAATGGTGAAAGAGACATGTAAATATCGTACATCCAATTTGTAACTACTTCTACATATTTTGAGAAATAAACGGAACGGGGCGGAAGGTGGTGTGCATTCGGCCACACTTTGCCCACGGTGAAGCACACACACACCAGCAAGGAGAGCAAGGTCCATAACGCCGGGGGCCCCTTACCCTCGACCTGACCTTGGCTCTCTCCGTTTCTCTCACTTCACCACGGGAAAGCCAGGCCCGGACATGGGATTCAATGTCCATAACGGTGACTGGGCCTATACCCTCATCCTGACGTTGTTTCTCCAGCCGTTCTGGGAGGCCTATACCTCCCAGAAACCGCACTTTAGGCCACAAAGGATTTGCGTGAATTATTAATTGATTTATTTTTTTTCTGTGTTGGTGTTGTGTACTCAGGTGAATAATATGTTTGCGATGTTACTCTGAGTGCATATCCACACCGGGCGAGCTAGCTTGAAAAATATGCCCGGCCACGGTGGGATTCGAACCTACGACCTTTGGAATACTAGCCCAATGCTCTTCCAACTGAGCTACGCGGTCAGGACGGTTCGTGTAAGTGATATTTCGGAACAGTATCTAGTTCCTTCAATACCAATGTGTTCTAGTAATATGATTTGTCCGCCATGTTGTGACTTCAAGTGCCTGTAATGTTGGCTATTAGCGAAGCTCGGAACCAATGTTTGAAGTCTGAAGTCTGAAGTCTGAAGTCCCTTCACGGCTTCCGTAGTAGCGGGCTCAAAATGAGCCTTGCTCAGTGGTAATTACCACGAGGATTTAGGACCAGTGGCGTCATTCTGGCATCAGCAAACGTGAAAATCCTTGAAAATCCGCCATGTTTTTCGCTTCACTTGCTTGACTGAAAGCATAGACAATCCAGAAGACAGGGACTGGAAACGCCTGATGTTTTGCGCGTGCCATCCGTGAGGGTCATGTAGCAGCTCCAACAAGGTCTTTTGTGATTGGTCAAAGGGATAGTTAAATATTAATTATATACTGGACAAATAAATTCTATGTTCGTATACAATATAGAAATTTGTGTATTAACTTGTTCTATTTTTAATCATTTACAAGCAGTAATCTTAAGGGAAGATAATCAAGCAGTTATATAGTAGTGAAGAGTATAGCATTGAAGGTAGCGAAGGTAGTAGCGAAGGTAGCGAAGGTAGCGAAGGTAGCGAAGGTAGCGAAGGTAGCGAAGGTAGCGAAGGTAGCGAAGGTAGCGAAGGTAGCGAAGGTAGCGAGGGTAGCGAGGGTAGCGAGGGTAGCGAAGGTGGCGAAGGTGG